GGGGGCGGGGAAGCTGCGGCCGGGAGAGCCGCCCTCCTTGGCCTGGGCCACTGGGTCCTAGCGCCGGCGTCTCAGCTTCCAGATCGGGATCTGGGTCCTAACGCCACTTGAGTGCTACAACCCAGGCCCCATAGGCAGCTCTCTTTGCAGCCGAATCTCTGAGGGCTGTCGTCTTGCTTCACTCCAGGCAAATCGGAAGGCAAGCCATAGTTCTAAGATTTAACCTAAAAGACTAGGCCACAGTTCTAGCACCAAAGGCACATGCTAGCTTGAGGGAGGAAGGTACATGACAATTTCAAGGACAGTTTGTTTCTCAGGCAGGGTAGTAGAAAAATGGAAGTGGAAAGGTTAGTTAGGGTACGATTCAGCCCCAGTAAAGGGTTGGAGAGAGCAAGAGTCCGTCGCCCACTCACCTCTGTCCAGTCAGGGCAGCCTGGTCCTCTCTGGATCACCACTTTCCTGGTGACATCTGCAAGACCCTGGCCTTCAGAAAGATTCCTGTGAGTAGGGAAAAAACACTTTGCTCTGGAACTAGATAAAGAAAACTGATTCTAGCCTAAATACCCTCCGAAGGGTAAAGGATAAGCAGAAAACTGACCAATAAATAAGGCCTACTGCTGGGCATGGTGGCATATGCCTATAATCCCAGCACTGGGGAGGCTGAGGCAGGAGGATTGCTGTGAGTTCGAGGCCAGCCTGGACTACACAGTGAGTTTGAGGCCAGCCTGAACTACACAGTCAGACCCTGTCTCAAGAAAAAGAGGCTTTATTCTATACTTCTAGTACTTTTTCTGGCAAGTCTATATACCTGTGTGTAATCTTCTGGAAACAGGAAAGTAAAATCTAGCAGATTTGTTTGGCTGTCACCTCAAGTGTCTGTTGCAGGGTTACAGGGTGGGAGATAGTGTCATATGATGTTACAGAGTACTGAATTTTTGACTTTCAACTTTCAACTGAATTTTTAAATTTCAACTTTCTCTCCTTTGTCAGATGAAGAAATTAAGGCCCAGAGAGTGGATAACATATGACTAGAAAGGAAATCAGGTTTTGTTTCCTTACAATTCAACATTTTTCAGGCTTCAGGATAATTCCCATTTGATTCAATGCAATGCAATTCTATAAAGAGCCTAAACTGTGCAACATTCTGGCTGAAAGTCTTGGAAGAGCCAGGCAGAGTGGGGATGGTCAAGCTCGGGCAGGTTGGGAGATGTCAACAAATACCTTTACCTAGGGGTGTCTAAGGAGAAAACAGACCTGAACATTAGATGAGGACCAGGCAAGGTGGAAGCAAATCCATCAATTCTAGATTGGATTTCCTCACTCCACAGAGGGGTGGGCTCTTTCTGAGTGACTCCACCCACCACAACAAATAGCTCAGAGAGGATAAGAAGGAAGCTTGCTTTAGCAAAGCCTCAATGTGTGGGTCACCAGGGAGTAAAGGGAGTTTTTGTCCCTCTCCTTAGATAAGGAGATTATTAAGGGGAAGAAGTAGACAAGTAGAAACCAAAATCCTTTTCCCTGTCAACAGATTTACAGGTCACCTTGGAAAAAAAAGACACCCCGGGCCCCAATATCCTGCTGATCTCAAGTCCATAGTGAAGCAGAGGCCACACTCAAGGGAAAAAAGTCCCTCCTGGAGAAAGGAGAAATCCAATAAACTTCTGCCAAGGAATGCCTTTCTATCTCTTGAATAAATAAAAGCACGGGCTCAGCACGTAGAACTGGCACTTGAAGGGCAGAGGGAAGGAGGGGGGGAGGAGGAGGAGGAGACAGCTTCAGGTGGGGAAGAGAGCTGATTTCCCTTTTTCCTCTTGGATTTTCTAGGGCAAATGAGGGAGAATCTCCCTACCTCCCGGCCCCAAATACAGGGCTAGCCAGTCGGAGACCGAGACAGCAAGGGAGGAGCCTGCGCCGGTCAGACGGGTGTGGGCACGCCCCTCCCCTCCGCTCCACACCACACACCCACACACACCCACCGCGGCTTCTCCGCTCCGGAAGAGCCGGTTACTCCTGTGCCCACTGACTGCCCCCACCCCTTCCGAGCCCCAGGCCTAGTCTCCAGGGCAACCTCCAGGACTGTCCCAGATGCGAGAGGCTGGCAAGAGGGTTTTGGATAGGACAGGACCACTTGGGGATTAGAAAAAAAAAGGGGCAGGGTCCACTTTTCCCATCTGGTACAGAAGACTACAATCACCTTCAACCCTGCATGAAACCCTGCCTTATCCCATTTAATCAGGGAGCTTCCTAGCACTCTGAAGGATGTCAGCAGCCAAAATGCCCAACAGCTGGGTGTTTACTTCTTGCCATACGCCACCCCAAGCAGCAGATGTGCTTCTCCCTCCCATCCAGACGGCAGAGGGCAGACTGACCCCGTGTGTCCCTAAGCATTTCTCAATCCTATCAGCTGTGGCCAATGACCTACCCACCTCTCTTTAAGAAGCTACTAGAAAGGTGAAGGGGCAGATGGTCATTTTATCAGTAATTTATGGTAAGAGTGTCTAGGAAACAGATTTCCTCAAGACAGGTCAGGGGAAGAGAAAAAGAGAAAGGGAAAGGAGAAATTAGCACCTGCTCCCCTTTCTTACCCTCCTTTCCAGCTCCATTTCACTGACTCTGGGGTCAGCTGCCACAGTGCCTGGCTCCACTCTGAAGCCAGATGGCAGGGGCCAGGAGGAAGAAGGGAAAAGGAGAGTCCTACTAGTCCTAGCTCTACCTCCTTCCCTCTCCCCCTTCAGACACTCCTAGCATCCAACACTACAGACCACCCTCACCTTCCTGTTGTGCCCTCCCAGCCCCCAGAACACAACTCAGAAGAGTCTGAAGCAAATCCTAACGCTCAATCCCCAATTTTGGAGGTGGTGAGTGGGAATAAAAGCACAAAAGAAGGAGCAGAGCTAGGGGTGCTGCTGTTGGACTTGGGGAGAAAGAATTTCCCACTTGAGGTAGGGTAGTTATAAAAGACCCCCCTTTCTCTCACTAACAGAATGGATCACACTGTTAATAGGATCCAGTGGAGAGATGATTCTCAGCCCTGTAACTATTCCAATTGGTCCCCTCCTCCCTTAGGTCACAGCAAAACAGACCTCATCCTCCTCACCTTGGGGAGGCAAGATTCTCCCATAATATATTAAAAGGCAAATACTCCCCTACAAGTTGGCCAGTGCCCCTCAGGTTTATAGTTTCGGGGTGGAGGTTCCCTCTACATCTTGAATAGAGAAAGATGGGCTTCTCTCGCCTCACCCAGCACCCCAAGTCCCTCAGGGATTTGATTTGGCCCAGGCCCCCACCTGTCTGCCCCAACAGCCGCTAACCAGCGCGCAGATCCCAGGCGCCCCGATTCTGGGGGAGGGACGTCCGATGCCGGAACAACCAACCCCCGTACCTAGAACGAGGCCCTTCCCACCTGGGCGCAGTGGGCGGGGCAGGGGTCGGACCCCAAACTCTGGAGACTAGGGGTGGGGCGACGGCTGCTGGAACGCTGGAGGTGGTACTACGTGAACCCGGAGCAGCCAGGCTACTGTCGTCGGAGTTGCCCTCGGCCCCGGCCCTTACCGTGGGAGAGGAGAGGAGCTGGGGTGGTGGCGTCCCCTCTCCGTTGGGGTTAGGTTGGCGTGGGAAAGCGCTAATTCCGGAGGGGAGGAGGCGAAACCTAGACCGCGGGAGATGTTTCTGGCAAGGACAACGCGGGGGAGGGGAGATCCTAGGCCCAGAATGGGAGGGGCACCGGAGAGGATGACTGCGAGGCTGGAGAAGCCTCTGGATTCCGGTCGCTAAGCACGAGAAGCCGGCGAGTAGACAGCGCGGGTTAGAGAGGAAGGCCCGAGTCCCGAGCCCCCGGGAAGGGACAGGGACTCCGGCCGGAGGTGGGAGCCTGGCCTCACCTGGAGCGGGGCCGGGCTGCGGGCGGCGGCGCCTCCTCCCCCAGCCCTGGGCCGGTGGAGGGGGGGAGGTGGCGCTTAAAGGGGCAGGAGCTACCGGGGTGAGGAGTTATTGGGGAGGGCTGCCGCCTAGGCTTCGCTGGGGGAGGGGGAAGCGGGTGGCGTCTCGGGCCAGAACCAGGAAGGATCCCAGATGAAGACAGCAGACCCCAGGAAGAGACAGAAACTTATGTGGCGAAGTGGGGGGCGGGGGGTCCGAACGAGAGTACTTAGGAGAGCGGTGCTTGCTTGTCTGGGGCTCAGCGAAGACGTCTACACAAAGGAGGCTGGGAAAGCAGTGGAACCCGCAAGGACTCCAGCAAGGCCCAGAGCGCTGGGGGTCATGCGTCGCGCCCTACGAGGTGAACAGGTCCCCGGTTTCACCTCCTTGAGGCCCCATCCGCACAACTGTGGAGCTTCTGGAATCAGGAAGCCACAAGGGCACAACCTTGTCCTCTCAAGCTTGGTTTTACCTTACTCAGTGTCCTCACCGACTAATGTGGAGGCCTCCCTAACTGCCCGACACAGGCTGATGTGGGACCGTGAGAATCCCTTTTATTCATACTTCATAGTTTTGTCCCAACCACCACCACCCTTGCCGCAATCTCTGGCAACAGGAAGCAGCTGCTCATTGCAGCCCCCACCTGGTGGTGGGACAGGGTGGGGGAGGAGAGAAGCAGGGACAGGAAAGGCCCGAGAGAGATTAGGGGGAGTGGAGGCACCTCAAAGACCCTTCACCACAACCAAAGGTGAGCGCTACTTTTGTTGGGGGCAGCAAGGAGTACTATGAAATATTACTGGAATCTCCCCAGCTTGAATAATGAGAAGCTAGGAGCAGTACTTCTCGGGAGACGGGGAAGCCCTGGCCTAAGGCACAGGCTTAGGCACTTCCAAAGAGCTGGAGCTTGCCAATGCCAGGATCCCTTGGTTGGCAGCCTCACCAGCTGAGCCCTGTGTGTCCCCCATGGTCGCATTTCCTCTCACCCCCCAAACGAGCAAAGGTTAGGCCCCACCCCTGCTGAGTCAGCCAGGGAGGGAGCTAGGCATCCCTCAGGCCTTCCCCAGGGCTGGCCCCGTACTCACCCATGTCAGTCTGGCAGGACTCCCGGCTGGGACCACCGGCTCCTCACTGTCCTTGGCCCCCCTTGACGTGAAGGCTGGTGTTAGATCTTCTCAAAATGTTAACTGAAAACTAGCAAGAATCGAAAAGCCAGAGTATGCTTCCTGCGAACCACACAGCCTGAACTGCTGTAGGGTGATGTCCCTGTGTGACAGGCTGGGGTGGGAGGGAGGAGGGAAGGGCGGGGCTTTCTCTGGGTGGAGAGAGGGAGGAGGCAAGGACAGGGCAGACCAGGCGAAATATGGAGGAAGGTTAGAAGTGTGTTGACACTTCAGTGGCGTGGTAGAAGAGGGTGGTGAAGGGGGAAGGAAATAAATAATTGCAGCTAATGAGAGGGAGAAGGTCCTCGGTAAATGCTGGAGGACGTCCCAAAGGGTCCAGGGAAGGGCTAGAGGGATGCAAATGACCTTTAGGATTTTATTTCCTAGGTCTGCATCTGGGTGGCTGAGAAAACAAAGCAGGAACCGGTGACCCATACCCTGGGGCCTTCACCACCTTCTCCACAACTCCAGAGTCTGGACCTGGAGGAAGTGTCCCCACCCCCATAACTCAGCATTTCCCCACATTCAAGCTTTTCTGGGAGCCGACTGCCAGTTACAGGCAGCTCAGGGGCTCCACCTTCCGTCCAGATCATGACACCGGAGAGACTGGTGCGGAGGACGTCATAGGCAGATGGGAGGAAGTTTAGAGGCCCCTACTCCACCCCAGGCGCCTCTCCCAGGGCCCCTCCCCAACCTTTAGCCCCCAGGGGCCTCTGAATTGGGAGCTCAACTAGTCTCCCAACTTGAAGGCCTTAGGGGTGGAGCCTATAGGTGCAGGCTCCGCCTCTGGACAAAAGCCTCAGCTGGTTTGTAAACAGTCATTAGATGAGAACCACCTCCCAGCAAATGGCCTTGAAGGATTTCAAAATGGTGACATCAGAGTTCTTGCAGTTTCCAGTGCTACCACGAGAGGGCAGTAGGATGGGTCCGGGCCCAGAGAACACCTGGGGCACCAAAACTGACCTTGCACTCTGAAACTTACTGGGTTGAAATGAAAGGGAAATGATCTAATTCCATTTAGAAGTCCAAGTAGCAACTGAGAAAGTTGCTATCTCCGTGTAAGATCAAATCTTTCCCAAACGTTCATAAGGAACATTAATAAGGCTCAGGATAGGTCTTGGTATTTTTTACCCCTGCAGAGACTCAATCACAAACATGCAAGTCTAGGCTTGCTCAAAATGTCAGGAGACTGTGGTTAGGAACACCTGTGTGAAGGTCTAACCAAGATGTAAAGGGCCCTTTTAACTCATTTTAACAGGTAAGTACAATATTCACCATTTCCTAAAAATTTAGCTGATTAACCTCTGCTTTGTTTTGGAATGTTACTTCTAAGCCAGTACTTTTTTTTGGAGACACGGTCTATGTAGTTTAGGCTGGCTATGTAGTCCAGGCTGGCTTCAAACTCACAGTGATACTCCTGCCTGTGCCTCTTGGGTGCCTGGACTACCAATACATTTTTTCCAATATTGCTCTGCTACAAAAAAAAAAAAAAATCCCTGTATATAGAAATGTGCTATATGAGGGTTTATCCATTTGCTTTCAACAAATGCTATGAATGAGACAAAGCTGAGAGAGATCCTACTAAGATCACACTATCCCCAGGAAAATTCTCATAAAACCTGCAGTTCACGAATCTCAAAGAATGGCTATTTTCTGATGATCCCATCCCAAGCACATTTAGCCTACACTTTGTGCTAAAATTGCATCTTATGGCCACTCATTGTCAAAAGCTTCAGTGCGTCAGAACCAAGAAAAACAGACAAATGCCGAGGGGGTTGCGTTTTATTGGAAACCTTAAATACTCTTTAGACACAACACATATTCATTTGAGGCTCTTGTACGGCCTACACAGAAAACTGGTTTCAGGGTTAGCGGCAAAGAGAAGGGCAGCACAGAGGACAAAAACTTATTCTGGCAGGAGACCCTCATGATGCATGCTCTTCCGCCAGTTTATCAGCTTTTGCCACAGCTTCTTCAATGGGTCCCACCATGTAGAAGGCCTGTTCTGGGAGATGGTCATAGTCACCTGCAAGGAAAACAAATCCAACTAGCAATGAGCGCAGCATGGTACCAATCTTAATGTGGGTGGAGGCCACCAGACTACTCACATCATCTAAGAAATCTCTTGACTGTTCCTCAACAAGTCAAATTCAAAAGATACAACATACTATGAATTAAAAACACATGATTTAGAGCCAGGTGTAGTGGCACACACCTGTAACCTCAGCACATGGGAGGCTGAGGCAGGAAGATCAATCACCACAAGTTTGAGGCCAGCCTGGGCTACATAGTTGAGTTCAAGGCTAGTCTGAACTATATAGCGAGACCCTGTCTCAAAAACACCAAAAACAAAACACATGAGACAGGGTCTCACTATGTAGCCTAAGCTGGCCTGGAATTTAAGATCCTTCTGCTTCAATCTCCTGCCTGCTGTACCATAATGGCCCACAACACATTCTTATTCTCTTCCTTGGTTATGTGATATTGGGAGAGTTTATTTTATTTTTTTGGTACCGGGGATCAAACTCAGGACCCTGTGCTTTCGAGGTGGAACCACTGAGCTAAATCCTCGGCCTGGGAGAGTTTATTTTTAACTCTTCTGTGCTTCTGTTTCCTCATTTGTAAAACAGGATAATAATGCTTTTCCTGTATTGTTATAATTTTCTCAGAAGAGTAGCTAGTATTGAAACCATTAAGTGTTGGGAATACATATAAAAGGATGCTAGACAGCTACTTGGGAGGCCAATCCTGGAGGATCACAAGTTCAAGGCTAGCTTAAGTAAGACCCTATTTCAAAAATACAGAAAGGACTGGGATGTAGCTCAGTGGTAAAGTATTTCCCTAGCATGTACAAGGATCCGAGTTCAATCCTCAGTATGGAAAAAAAATTTTTAACTAAAGCAAAAATTAGTAACTGAAATGAAAGGGTGGAGATATACAGAGACATCATGTTGCTTAGCATGTTCTATACCCTGGGTGCAGTCTCAAAACCATTAGGAAAATAAGGGGGGAGGGATAGGGAAGCTAGAAACTCAAGTTATGTCACACTCAGAAAAATGTACTTTCAAATAAAATTGGTGAGAAATATTAAAAAGTAAAAAGACATGGTGGTGTACACCTTAATCTCAGCACTCTTGGAAGCTGAGGCAAGAGGATCAAAGTTCAATCCCAGACTAGGCAACTTAGCAAGACCTTGTCTCAAAATAAAAAACAGAAAGAGCTGGGAATGTAGCTCAGTGCAAAGACTCTGGGATTCCATTCCCGTATTAGAACAACAAAAAAATTAGCAGCATATCATAGTTTCTGTTGCAACAGGCACACACCAAACTTTCAAGATTTCAGTTTGTTTAGCTTTGTACTCACCTGCCAAAATCTGCTGGAATCCTTTGATGGTCTCCTTCAGGGGTACCAGCTTCCCCATATGCCCTGTGAAGACCTCAGCAACCTGGAATGGCTGAGACAAGAAACGCTGTATTTTCCGTGCCCGGGATACAGTCAACTTGTCTTCTTCAGAAAGTTCATCCATACCCAAGATGGCAATGATGTCCTGGAGGGATTTGTAGTCCTATGAGAAAACAAAGTGAAAGAGGCCTAAGTGTTCATACTTCTTTGGTTTAGACAAAAATTTGATGAAACAAGCCAATAGAGGGCAAGCGCTGGGACAGTGAAGAGCAGTAGCCAAGATCAGTGTCTTGTTCTATCCATTCGCTCAAGTGCTATTACAAAAAAACTGAATTCCAAAGTCTATCTACAAATTCAAAAGACTTTGTTAGCACTATCAATTGGCAGTCTCAATTTCCCTTGCTCCAAAGCAAATCACAAGTGACTGAATGCTGATATAGTCTTCAAATTCCTTCTAACTTTATGGCCACTGATCCTATATAGCAATACACTCACCTGAAGGATCTTCTGTACCCCACGGGCAACATCATAATGCTCACTGCCAACAATGTTAGGATCCATGATTCGAGAGGTGGAATCCAGAGGATCCACAGCTGGATAAATACCCAGCTCAGCAATGGCACGGGACAGCACAGTGGTGGCATCCAAATGGGCAAATGTAGTGGCAGGGGCAGGGTCAGTCAAGTCGTCAGCAGGCACATAGATAGCCTAAAGTGAGTCAAAAACCCATGAAATGCAGCAGGAATCGAAGTATTCTATGAAACTTCCGTTTCCTGATTTTTCCATCTTACTCTGCCTTCTTAGCATTAAAAGTTCATCTCACCAGGTGTGATGGTGCAAACCTGTAATCCCAGTACTTGGGAGACTGAGGTAGAAGGATCACTGCTGGTTGGAGGCCAACCTGTGCTACATAGTGAGTTCAAGGCCAGTCTGAACTATAACATAGCAAGACTGTCTCAAAAAAACAAATGAAAAAAAGTTCATCCCAAACTGGGTACAATGGTGCACACCTGTAATCCCAGCACCCTGGTAAGCTAAGGCACGAAGAACTAAAAGTTTGAGCTCCACCTGGGCAATTTATAGAGTTCCTGTCTCAAAAAGTCCACCTCCAAAGAGTTATCACCCCTAATACCTGCTGAATGAGCTCACAGACTACTCGATCCTTCTAAGTCACAATGGAAGAATTTTCATTGTCATTCTTTTTGTTCTTCATTCTACACTTTAACTATGGTAATGACAGTAACTATACCACCAACTTTTAGAGTTAAAAACAAGAACACCACCTGCCCCACAAGCGCAAGCGCCTGAGTTTGATCCTCAGTACCAAAAAAACAAAACAAAAAAAAAACATGAACAAGCCAGGCATGGTGGTACATGCTGCAATCCCACAGATTCAAAGCCAGCCTGGCTAACTTAGCTAGGCCTTGTCTCAAAAAAAAAAAAAAAAGGCTGGGGGGTACATAGTATTCCCTGGATTCAATCCCTACTACCACACCAAATAAACAATAAACAACTTTCTTATACCTCTTCACTAGTTCATTAAAGGGGTCTTCGCTGGGCCAGGTATTTAGCTCAGTGGCACTGTGACTGCCTAGCAAGTGCAAGGTCCTGAGTTCAATCCCTGGCACCAAAACAAAAAACAAAAACAAAAAAAGGGGGGCTGTACCTTAGTGGTAGTGCAGGTACTTAGCATGCATGCACCCCTGGT